TGTGGAGGTTTATCTTTATGTTGCCATCATTTCCTGTCATCTCCTCAGGTTTGACAAATGATCCTCTGTCATCACATTAACAATCTTCTCTGAAATCTGGATGTGATTAAAGACCTGTGGTTTCCCTGAAGAACTCAGCACAGTCAAGTTCAGTTGTTGAATCTGTTTAGCACGTACTGATGAATGACTACGAGAGAACAACCACTTTACTCTCCCTGTTCATTTAGACATGTTTTATGGCCTATCTAATATGAAGACACTTTCATTGCTGCTGCTTTAACCAGTTGCATTTTCACAACACATTATCTCGTCAAGGCATGGAACGATACTGAGATTTGGAGTTGCGATTATCATGTCCAAAATAATTGCGATTACCGATAATATCACAATAATTATTAAAGTTGCTGACAGTTTCAAAATGTTATATGAGTAATAATAATTTCAGTATTATGAATAGGTTCCATATTTAAAGGTCCTACATTACTCAACATTGATTCTTGTGAGCTTTAAGCCGTGTTATGTTGTTACCTCCTCAAAAACATACGTGCAGGATTCTCAGTCATGGAAATCCCGGAAAAACCATGGAAATTGAAAATGTCATTCACAAGGCCTGGAAATGTCATGAAATTTTGTAAATTCAATTAAAATTTTGGAAAAGTCATGGTATTTCATTGTCTCTTTCACGCAACTACAGCATTCTGTTAAGTTATCATTAGTCTATTATGATTATTTCTGAACGTATGCGCCTTTTGTTTAAAAGAGACAACAATAAATGCATTGACCGTAGGGGTGTAATGATATCCAAGTCTCATGATACGATGTCTTCACAGTATGAACCTCACGATAAAATATTTATTGCGATATGGTGGGAAAACTCACAATTAGGGATGTAACAATATCCATTTATTGTGATATTTTGTGGCTAACACAACTGTTAATATGCTACTTTTTCCTCTTAAAATGCCTTGACACTTCTTAATCCAATGAACTGAGACTTAAAAGTGCTTAGAACATTTCTTCATGTTGTCTACACTGAAACGGAGCAAAGGATCATGGACTATGTAGTTCCCTCTCTGTTTCTTTTTAGCTATTGCTGCATCATAACTCTTAATTAAAGCAAAGAGGCTTGTAATCGATATATTGTGATGGTCCACGATATTATTGTGAGAACTTTGACAATACGATATCATGATATTTTGGACTATTGTTACTTTCCTACTTTTTGAATGTTAAAAAACTATAATACCAAACCATAATATGAGTGGAAAGGTTTAACATTTTATATTTAGCCCTAAAAGTATGCTCAATTTTACACTTGTAGGGTGCCGTAAAGTTTAGGTCATGAAAACGTAATGGAAAAGTTTTGAAATTCTGTCAGTGAAAAAGAGTGACAACCCTGTACTTGGAGTTGTGTTTTGTTTCCTTCACACATGTTTGAGCAACACTTTTTTATTAGTCTTCATCTCCACAAGCTCAAAAAGCTCTGTTATCCAAAGGATTCAAGTGAAGGTGTATGGAGTTTAAAAACACAGTGGAGCACTTTCTGTATTGGTGTTTTCTGTTTGAGGGAAGAACTCAGCCTAAATATGTGAAACGTGTGAATGAAACAAAACACAACTCCAGGTACTGTTTGTTTTTGATGAGGAAACAACATCGTAACATAGCTCTAAAAATAATGTGATGTGGGCCCTTTAAATAGAGAGTATTGTGCCCTCGCTTATTGCCTTCATTCAGTTCTGTAGTGAAAGAGCAGAAGCAGTGGAGCCTTTATCCTCCTATCTCATCCCCTGCTTGTTTGTTTAGCTGTTAGACACTTGGCTGATTTGTTGGTACTTTGCTGCTTCCTTCTCGATCAGTAAAAATAGTAGCGGTACAATGGCTGCTGTAAATAATGCATGACAGTGTGGATGCTCATTAGCTCTCTCTCTCCCCCTTTGAACACACACCTCTCTCGCCCGAGTTAGCTGTTCATTTAATCTCACACAAGACGTGATTGTAGATTGTAATATGTAAAGATTATTATAGCGTATGCGTCCCTTCTCATTATCTGTGAGGCTTTGAGTGGAAATCCAAGCAGCAAGACTTGATTACATCCTCCAGCAGACCTCATACAACTTATTTGTTCTGGAGCCCCATGGATGGCTTTTGGCAGATGGAGCACACTGACTCACTACTGCCCTCTACAGGTCAAAGGACGCACTGCAGGGACAAAATCTGTTCTCAACCGGTCTCATTGTCCAACCAAGTTTAGTTCTTTTCAGGAAAAACTAGTTTGTAATTAACAATCCTCACAAAAAATAAAGCAATAAATTAACATAAATACTTTTTTTTTTTTTTTTTTTTTACATGTATGCTTTAGCCATCACAAAAGGAAAACAGTACTGAACTGTTTTGGTTGAGGGTATGTCACCTGCTTGTCTCCGTGGTGATGTTCTTGCTTTACCTGGAATGCTCCACAGTATTGGCGTCTAAGCGGGTGGTGCCATCAGTCCATGTTACAAGTCAGATCTGTGGAGAGGTGATCTTGTTCACTCTAGGAATGCATGTTTTTCAAGTTCTTAAATTATGCATGTAGTTTCATGTCATCTCCATGGAGACTAGCAGGAGATGAACTCTTGACTAGAAAAGTTACATAGTGCACCTTTAACACATTATGCATAGAGGGAGAGAGAGAGAGAGAAAGAAGAGAGAGAAAGATTAAAGGGGTGAAAGAGAGAGAGAAAAAGAGAGGGGGTGAAAAATAGTGAGAAACAGAGAACATTTAACATCTTATGCACAGAGACTTGTTAGAGAGAAAAAAGAGAGACAGGGAGTGAAAGAGAGAGAAAAAGAGAGTGGATGAAAGAGAGAGAAAAAGAGTGGGTGAAAGAGAGAGAGAGAGAAAGAAAGAGAGACGGGGGTGAAAGAGAGAGAGAGAAAAATAATATTTAACACCTTATGCGGAGATTTTTTAGAGAAAGGGGGGGTGAAAGACGGAGAGAAAATGTGAAGGGGTGAAAAAGAGAGAGAAAAAAGAACATTTAACACCTTATGTACAGATTTTTGAGAGAGAGAAAGAAAAGAGTGAAAGAGAGAAATGAAGAGAGACGGGGTGAAAGAGAGAGTTTTACACACTGCAGAGATTTTTAGAGAGAAAGTAAGAGAAGATGTGAAAGAGAGAATGAAAGAGACGTGGTGAAAGAGAGAAAAAGAGTGAATATTTATCACCTTATGCAGAGATTATTTAGAGAGAGAGAGAAAGAGAAAGAAAAGAGAGGGGGGGGTGAAAGAGAGAGATAGAAAGAGAGATGGCGGTGAAGGAGAGATAGAAAAAGAGAACATTTAATACCTTATGCAGAGATTTTTGAGAGTGAGAGAAAGAAAAGAGAAAGAGAGAGAAGGAAGAGACAGGGTGAAAGAGAGAGAAAAACATTTATTGCCTTATACAGAGATTTTTTAGAGAGAAAAAAAAGAGAGAAAGAGAGACAGGGGTGAAAGAGAGAGAGAAAAAAGGGGTGAAAAGAGAAAGACAGAACACATTTAACACCTTATGCACAGACTTTTTAGAGAGGGAGAGAGAAGCGAGCGAGAGAGAGAGAAAGAAAGTGTGTGAGAGTGTGAGAAAGAAAGAGAGAGAGAGGGGAGGACCTTTAACACTTCATGCACAGACACTTTTTTAGCGAGAGAGACAGAGTGTGTGTGTGTGTGTGTGTGTGTGTGTGAGTGCAATTTTGGTGCAGAACATTTGGGAGCTGAGAGCAGAGCCAAAAGTGCACATTATCTGGTGAGGATCTGAGCAGACGGAGAGATCGTAGGTAGTGGCCAGTCACAGTCCATCCTCACAATCTGCTGAAGCAACGACAGTTAAATCAACCGTCATTTCTCTGAATATAAACTCACCACAGCCGGCTCTGAGTGTTGAGTTAAAACTGAAGGTTGTTTAACTCCCCCTCATGTCTTGTAAAATGTACTATTACTGCAGCTTATTGTGGACATCATCTGTTTAAAGAGTGAACATAGAGCACATCTCTGGAATAAGCTGATAATAATCACCACAGTCCACAGTTGAATCCATGTGTTATTTTATACAGATGGAGGAGAGGCGTATTCAATTATAAAACACAGTAAAGTCAATAGATTTTAAAACAAAGACACAATGTTGTTTCAACTTAAAGGTCCCATATTATGCAAAACTGATTGTTGTGAGCTTTTAGCTGTAGAATGTTGTTACCTCTTCAAAACATGCCCAGAGTTTCATTCACACGTTTGAGTAATCCTTTATTATTACTCTGTCTACATCTCCTAAGCTCAAAATGCTCTCATCCACCTTGTGATGTCATGAAGTGGAAGTTTTTAAAACAGCAGCTACCGTTTACCTTTAGTTTAAGTAGAAATGGCCAATTCTAGAGCTAGTGAAGGTGTATGGTCTTTAAAAACACAGTGGAGCACTTCCTGTATTACTACATGATGTCACAAGGTGCAGCACATCACATGGAGTGTTTTCTGTCAGAAAAGAACTCACTTTAAATATTTGTGGTTTGTGTGTTGAACATGTGTGAAACACAACCCCGGGCATGTTTAAAATGATGAAACAGCATCATGATATAGATCAGAGAATACTGTAGTATGGGCCTTTTAAATTAAACATTGAACTCTAAATCATTCATCTAAGATTGGTCTGATGCTTCTAGTTTATTTTAAATGAACTGCATTTACAGAGGTGTAATAGCTTTAATACCTTGGCAAGATGAAAAATAAATTTCATTTTTATGTTGAAGATGTAACAAATAATTAATTAATTAATACAAACTTTTTTCCCAACTGCTAAAAGTGACTCAAGTGAAACTTTAATTAGCATTGATAAAATAATCCACACTTGTACTTACAGTGCAGATTTTCTTGGTAAAATAAGCTTTTACTTTGCTGCTTTCTGTCTCTTAATGTCATGTCTATAATCGTCTCCATGCGTGTCGCCCAGTACAGAGCTCTAATCCACTCGTGTCCATTCTGTGCCTCCTCAGTGTGACCGCCGTGCGCCTGCCCGACGGTTTATCCTTCGTCGTCTACGAGTTCTGGGACGGAGAGGACGAGTGGAAGAGGTGACACTCACTCTACTGCCATTCACACTGCAGCAAACTAATCCTGGATCTACACTCATTTACTATTTATAGAAGACTATGCCCACTGATGGCAGAAGGACTCTAGATCAGTTATATTGTATTCTTATTATATAATGACTTTCAAGACTTATCAGGGAAGATTTATCAGGGACAATGCACATACAAACATTGATCTACACAAAGACGTGTGTCAGGTTATAACAAAATTGTTCATTTCCACCTTCAGTCCCCGGACAGGCTGATGTCATCAATAGACTACATGTCAATAAAATACAACCTTTATTAATGCATCATTCATCTCAGTCACCACATCCATACATCATTTACATATATACACTTCAGTTCATGCCTTGCAGACCAATATTCATTCACTCCACACTCGGGCTAAATTATTGTTGTAGTCACAGTTGCCCAGGGGCAGACTAACAGAAGTGAGGATGCTAATCTGCGCCAAACTCCGACCAGCACAATTCACTTACAGACCACATTCATACTGAGCACAGTGGGTGAAGTGTCTTGCCTAAGGACACAACAACACTGCTGCCTCACTGTGGCACCTGGTATTAGCGGAGGTCTCCCATCCAAATACTGAACTGTGCAACTGATGTCATCAACATTCTCTGGGGGTGTGATGCTAACTGGAGGCTCTGCTCTGTCTGAGGCTTTATTTTAACACAGTCTGACCATAAAGAGCTGACTGAGAGTTTTTCATTTAGTCACCTTTTTGTTTACAACACCTAAACAGTATTGATCACAGGCTCCTGAAAATGTGTTATTTAAAATTAATTTTGTTTCAGACAATCTTCAAGCTTTTTTGACAGTGTTTGCATGTGTGCATTGTGTCACTATGGTAACGCCTAAGCATTTTACCATTAGAGATACATGTAGAACACCCCCAGCGCAAGTATCGATTAGGTCCAACAGTGCATAGCTTCTGGGATCAGATGAGACTGGGCATTCTAATCACATAGAAAAATATATTATACAGTTCTAGTTAAATAGTTGTGGTTACACTGGATTATATTACATTCTTATTACGTTTTATTACTTTGCAATACTTTCGTCTATAACACTCACTATGGCTACCAATATTATTAAAAGTGTGACTGCGTATACAGTTTTTATTAGTAGTATCATCTAAACAAATATTATATTGACAAATATTGAAACAAATATTGATATTACTCCTGGAGATAAAAGTTAATTTTCTTTTGCCTGGGATCCAGATTATACACTTCTTCAACACTTTGCGAAGATGTGATCAATGAGCTCCTGTGTTTCACGTGTCACTGTAAAAAAGTAAATCTGATTTATTTGGTCTTGAGACGCAGATGAGGGCGTTGGGACCAGACTGACATCAATCTGTATAAAAAATAAAGAGAGACATTATGGATATGCCAGGTAAAGAGCAAAGGGAAGCTAATGTAATCACTTATTGTAAAATTTAAAAATGGTCTAAATTCTTGCGGATTCCAAATAAAAATATGACTGAAACAAATGAGCAGCAGATTCCAGTTTGGTAAATAAATGCTGAGGAGACGATCGCTGCCAAACATTTCATTTCTACAAAACTTTAAAGTGCGGAGCCCCTCCTCCTCCTCCTCAGTCAGCACTTCTGGAGCTGAGCCGGCTGTTTCCGCTGCCATTGTTCTTATTGATTGCTGATCGCCAAATCACCGCACTCACATTTCTTCCATTACTGTCATAAGTCGTGTGCATTTCATTAGCGTTGTCCAGGCAGAGGCTCCGGGGCAGGGCGGGTGGGCTCTGGGGCAGGCGTGTGTTTTGTGTCAGCTGCTCCTGATTTAGTGATGGAGCGCTGTGGCTGCAGAGGCTGATCGGTCTGTCCGCTCCACTGCACTCTCTATTCACTCTCTCTTCACTCCCACATTAATATTTCAGCTCTTACTGTAAAAAGCTACGCTCACAGCACGGCTTCTGTGACTGGGGCTCTGCAGAAGTGCCAAGGAGAAGACACAAAATAGATCCTTTAGTAAATGTTAAAAATGATCTAAAAATGCATTTTGTCTCAATGTTAAAAAACAAAAGTGAAACTTCTAAAACACTGTAGCATCAGCAGTTAAGCAGCAGTTCAGTTTCAGTTATTACCCCACAGAAGTAAAATACCTCCTCTTTATTTAGTAAGGGGCTTCATCAATAAAAATATGTATGTATATATATATATATATATATATATATATATATATATATATATATATATATATATATATATATATATATATCGGTGGTCTTCTGATTAGTGCTGTTATCCATGGGTTTCATAAAGAGGATAAAAAAGCTTCCTTTCCCATAGCCGAAATAATCTTTTGAATGGTGAAATATGGCATTCAGAATTGCACAGAGAATCACCCCCATGAATATAATATGATTTGAGTCTTTACACAGACACATGTTACATTGTTCTCTGTCTCTAGGCACCTTCAGTCTCCTCCGAACAAAGCCTTTCAGCACGTCAAGGTGGACACACTGTGCCAGCCAGAGGCCGTGTCCTCTGTCGCCGTGCCAGGTTAGTCCCATTCACCGTAGATCTACTTTGTTCTGTTATTTTTAAAGGTCCTATATTACGCAATTGACTCTTTTGAACTTTAAGACATGTTATAATGTTGTTTCCTCATCAGAAACATACCGGGAGTTGTATTTTGTTTCATTCACACATATTTGAGTAACCATTTATACATCACCAGGTGGAACAGTGTTTTCTGTTTGAGAGAAGAACTCAGTCTAAATATGAAACAAAACACAACTCCAGGCCTGTTTGTGTTGAGGAAACAATGTTACAACAAAGATCAGTAAATAACGTAACATAGGTCCCATTGTTTCCCAAAGACAGGGTTGCAAGAGATTTTTTTTGGATCACCTTGTCGGTTAAAATGTTAAGACATGTTTTGTATAATTTCTAATCTTTTTGTAATTATTTTATTGACTATTTTGTTCCAATATTGCTGGTTCAAATTGAATGTTGAAAAGAAAAAGAAATGAGCTGCATTTAATGTCCAAATAGGTGACTTATGGATCCTTTTATTGCTGTTTCAATGACAATGTTTTCCATTGTTTAAAATTTGAGTAAAACTAATTGTTCAGAGAGACACGATCACTCAGCCAACAATAAAATATCAGTAATGGTCACATCCACTTTTATTTTGTTATTTATGAATAGTGTCTATTAACTTGGGTCACGAAGGATTATGACTTTTAAAATATGGGTCCCCAGAAAAAAAAAAAAACTTTGGGAAACACTGCCTTAAACTAGAGCAAAACATGTTCAGACTTTTCATATCCAGTTTAAAGCTGGTACTTGACTATTTTTTCTGTTCTTCCAGCCGCCTGGTGCAGTGTGAACAGGGACTAAAAGCATGAAGAAGTGAGCACCACGCCAAGACTATGACCGTCCGAACCCCACAAACCTCATGTGCCCCCCCCTCACCCCCCCTCCTCCTCCTCTTTTACCTTAAGTCTTTTTGTAAGTACATGTTTACACAGTACAAAACGAATGGTGTCAAACGCAGTCAAAAACCAACTAAAAGTACTTTCACAGTGTGCGCGTAGTTTGCCGGCTCCAGACTTTTGAATTATCTCCTGTAATTGTCACTATCTACAGCTTTGAGCCACAGGCAGTCTGTCATGTAGCAAGGTCCCCCCAGCGTAGTTGTTATGTAGCAGTTTCGGTCATTTTTTGTGATAAATACAAGAGTTTACAGGCATAGAAACGCATGCTCTCAAGTTTATTGGACTTAATGTAGCTCTTTTTGGTTCGGCATTATTTTCACATCAGCTATTTTGAAATGATCCCCGCCCATTGCAAAAGGAATAGCTGCCATATTAGCTTGCAATCTCAGGAAGAAATGTTTGACAGTTGCAAAGTTAGCTTCACTAGCAACACACATGCTAATGACAATTCGAAAATAATAGAGACTTAATTTTCTATACCCATCTGAGTTAAAGGGTTTTTCAGTCAAAGGTGCACTATGTAACTTTTTGGTGGTGGGTCTGTCATGGATGTGGCATTGCGCTGCCTGGAATGTCCCAAAGTATGACATTAAACAGCTCTACTTTACATTTATTCAATTACAGGTGGTTTTATGGCTCAAAAATACCTAGAAAAACACGCATTCTGGGTGTGAGTGGGGTCGCCCTCTCGCCCTCTCCACAGATCTGACCTGTAATTTGGTCTGGTTTGGTCTCCATGAAGATAGAAAGGTTTAATACCATACTGTGAAACATTCCAGACAAAGAAATAACATCTAAATGGAGAAAATCCACCAGAAAAGTTACACAATGCACCTTTAACAACACCTTTAGGTCATATTTTATTGTTGCAAATTAATAAAAGGATCAGCGCTGTGTCATAAGTTTAAATAAACATTCATCTGCAACATGTCAATCATGTCTAATAACCCTCAAAACACTAATTTTGCTCTGCAGTTGGGCATAAAAACATTAAAAGACAGTGAGTGATTTTTGACTTAAAGGTGCATTTGTGTAACTTTTCTGGTGGAGGGGTCCGTCTGGAATGTTTCACAGTACGGCATTAAACCTTTCGATGACCAAATCAGGCCAAGTTAGAGGTCAGATCTATGGAGAGGCAGTCAGAAAGCTTGTTTTTCTAGGTATTTTTGAGTTATAAAACCACCTGTAATTGAATAAATGTAACGTAGATCTGTTTAAAGTCTTACTGTGGAAACTTCCAACCTAGAAGCAAGCAGGTGATGAACCCCCTACCAAAAAGTTACATAGTGCACCGTTAACAACTAAACAGTACAAATAATTGCAGAAAATCTGAAATTGTCCATTTAAAGTTCACAAATTTCAGTTTTCATTTTGATTTGGATAAAATAAACGAGTGACTAGATCCTTTATGTAGCTCTATATTTTATGTGTGAATATGGGGTTTTCTGTTGATAGTGTGAGCCATGTTGTAGGATTTAGATAAATATACTTTGCTGCTAAGTCATTGTCAGCAGTTCATCACATGCAGCTAAAGATGATTTTCAGTTTGTATTTTCCTTGTCTTGATTGGCAACGATTATTAGCTGTGAGAGTCTAGTAGAGAGTGTACATAGAAAATGTTGTTCTATGATTATTATATTTGTATTCTTGATATATTTTAGTGCTATGGTGCAGTTTCTTGAGAAGATCATCAAAACTGAATGACATAAATATAAAGCCTTAAACATGAACATGCATAGAGGTGCGTTAATGGGATAGGTAAGGCTGACTCCAGCGAGCTGCTAATAGGCTGTTGGGATCAGAGTACATAAGCCTTGTGTTGCATGGACAAAGTATACTAAATCAGCCAGGAGTTCTGCGATCACCAAGACATATTCACTAATTATATAGAAAACATATGTACACGCTGGGAGCCAATTCATCCTGAACATGTTTACAAGATTAAACTTTAAAAGAGGTTTGTGACAGAGAGAACAAAGAGAAAAAGTATACTAAATCAGCCAGGAGTTCTGTGAACACCAAGACACATTCACTAATTATATAGAAAACATATGTACACAGTGGGAGCCAATTCATCCTGAACATATTTACAAGATTCAACACAAAAGAGGATAATAACAGAGAGAACAGAGGTTTGAAGAGAAAGTCGTTTTCCACCCCAGATCCTGGAACAATGAAGTGTATCAAAACCTGGTATTCACTATAATTTTAATTGACATGATTGCCCTAAAAGGCTCAAATGTTACTGGTGCTTTGTGTAACTTTGGTGGTGGAGGGTTTTCCACTTGCTGTGCCTTGAATGCTCCATAGTATGACATTAAACTTTGGCTATGTTTATATGATGACGGTCTGAACAGAAGATGTAAAAGTGGTGTCGCGTCTTCACTTTTTATGTTTAGACGAGCATTTTCGAGAGGAAATCTGCGTCCACACAGTGACGCAAAAGTGTGTGGAGTTCGATTGAGTATGCATGCCACGCGGCTAGGTGGTGACGCTACGTGGTGATGTATCCGTACGCGATGTGAGCAGATCTGACCAGAGTTTTGCGTCTTGGGCAGTGTAAATGGAAACGCTACGGCGGAGTGGATTCAACTTTTCCACTCTGGAGGGTGGTTTCAGATTTTTGCGTTTTTAAGCCCCAAAAACGCCGTCACTGTCTAAACAAAAGGCACTTCAGATAAAATATTTTGTCATTTTCATGTAAACAGGCCCTTAAATCTTACATTTAATACAGTTACATTTGGTTTTTTTGCTCATAGGTTCAACGAAAAACATGCATTCATACTGTAAACAGGGTAACATCTCTGCAGATCTGACCTGGAACTTGGCTTGGTAACATTACTTGTCTATTACCATGGAAATAGATGTGTTTAACGTCTTACTGCGGAGCATACCAGGCAAAGCAATAACATCGCCATGGAGACAAGCTGGTGGCGGACCTCCCAGGGCAAAAGTTACACAGTGCACTCTTATCGGCTTGTTTTTTAGATTCATGTTCCGCAGTATGGCATTAAACATCTTGCTAGATTGTGCCACCTGTCTGTCTCCATGGAGTTAGATAAGGTTAATGCCACACTGTTGAACATTCCGGGCAAAGCAATAGCATCTCCATGGAGACAACCAGGTGACGGGCCTTCTACGAGAAAAGTTACCCAATGCACCTTTAAGCTAATGTTCTTGAAAATGTAAAGCGAAGGCCAGGTTTGGATGATACAGTAATTATAGTTATAAAATATCTGTTGAGCTTTAAAATGGACCAGAACTAATAAAGGAAAATATCACAGCTGTTTTGCTCGCCTCTACAAACACTAGTACACTACAATACACTAAACCCCATGCTGAGATCCACTTGAAGAAGCCACTGAGCTGGTTTTGAGCGTAATAAAGGTTTTGAAGGTCAATTGTGGAGAATGGGCTTAATGTTTTGATGCTGTTTCGTCACTACTGCTTTAGTATGACATGTTCTCATTGGTGTAAAATGAAGGTCAAATTCAGGTCAAGAACTTCGCAATTCACAGTGTAAATCCTCGGACCCTCGACACAGCACCACCGTACGCCAGCGATCAGTCAGAAAGCACAATGTACAAAAAATGACGGACTGAAGATACAACGATATAGAGTAGATAACTGAGAATAAAGAGGATCTACGGTAGTTCTAATAGTACTGTTAATGACAATGAGCCACATATATACTGTATACTTCTGTATCAATAGACTTTCATGTCATTTTCACGTACATCTACTGTAGTGTTTGAAACTAATGGGGATCCAGCTTCACTGATCCAAGAATTTGAACTGTTGTAAATGAACACGTGCTGCACTCAACTACAAAAACATAGATTAGTATTTAGTCATTTGGGACAGTAACTTGGTGGTTTCAACGATAGTTAGTTCAGCAAAATAAAGAGTCTTGGCAAAAGTGGGGGTTATGCATAATTCACAAAATAAATAGATCAACAGGTGTGTTAAGATAGAAATAAACACACTCTAACTTTTCTTGTGGGGTGTCCACCAACTGCTTGTCTCCATAAATCTGTTATTGTTTTGCTGGTATGTTCCACAGTAAAGCATTAAACTCGTCTGTCTCCGTGAAGATGAACAGAAACAAAAAAAGGCCAAGATATAGGTCAGATCTGTGGAGAGGCATCTCAATGTAACATAAGAATTCCTGTTTTTCATGGTATTTTTAAAGGAAATAAACACCTAAAATTTAATAAATGTCAAGTAAAAAATAAGCAACAGTGGAAATAATCACATCCCCGTGGAGACAAGCAGGTGGTGGACCTTCTACCAGAAAAGTTACACAATGCGACTTTAAGTAATCGATTTGAAAACATGGATTTTGTAGTTAGCCAAGTTGTAAAGCTGTTAATCTAGGGGAGCAGTGGTCCTCCTGAGTGCAGCCCACAGTCTCCTCTCTGTGCATCGTTCTGGTCCAGTCTGGTTCTTGTACAATCATAAGGTGAACTGTCAATGCCAATACTGTTGAAACATTCCTGACTCTGCTTTTTTTCCTCTCTTTCATTATAAAGTGCAGTCTGTGCTTTGTCATACAATGGTTGTGTCTCTTTTCTCTTTCCTCACTTCCTTCTCCTTAGTTGCCCTCCTTGAGTCTCCATTTTTCAGTTGTCAATCAAAAGCGCCATATTAAGTGGTGTCCTGAAGCTCAAAGGAGAGAAGGGAAGGAAACCACAGAGGAGACAAGAGGGAGGGTTCAGGAAATAAAGTAGAATTATGCGTCTCAGTGAGGAGTTTATATTGTTGCTTAAAAGTGCGCTGTGTAACTTTGCTAGTGTAGGGTCCGCCACCTACTTGACTCAGTGTAGTTGTTATTGTTTTTTTCTCAAATACTCTACTGTATGACATTTAATTTAACTATCTCCATGGAGACAAACAGGCCAA